AAGCCCCCCCGCTCACTACAGTATATTCATCTTCAGCTTCGTCGACATCATCAGAGTCCGGATCGGGCGGCGGGTCCCCAGGCCCAGAGGGCCCTGGCACAGGAGGCGGGAAAGGTGGCACATGTCGGGTCAAACCAAACCTTAAAGTGCAACTGCCTCCTACTATGACCTCATCCTCGACGTGGGCAATTCCCCCGCTGATCTGAAGCACGAAGCCAGTTGGAACCACAAGACGTGCAAGGGCCAACAAGCTCGGGACGTGAACCGACAGGGAGTGAGAGTGCCACGAAAAGGGACGAACGCCTAAGGCACGTAAGTCACAGAGAACAAACACGTCCCGCCGTTGTCTGGAGGCCGCACAGGCCGGATCCATCCGCGGCAGCCGCACAGCTTGAACAACAACAGTGCAGGATACTCCCTGAACATCCAGGTCAGGTAGAGAGCCACTCACATGCGTAGTGAACTCGGAGAGCTCAAGCCTGAGAACACGTCCCACAGCCCGGTGTAACTCATACCCATGCAGGTGATGCTGCTGCAGTGCGTATCTCTCTCCTTCAAAGTACAAACAGACGCCGGGCTGTCGTGACACCGAAGGGACATGATGCAGGGGACCGCGGCGCGCGCCCGCAACAAGGAGTGCACCGATGGCAAGGGGGCTAGGCGGAGGAGAGCCACAGGTCAAGACAGTGAGAGCCTCCCCAGGGCATAGGACAACAGGGTCACCCGCGACGCAAGGGCGACTACGGTGTCCCACGAAGATAAGCATTTCGTCGAGATCGACCCGAGTGTGTGGCCTGACAAACGATTCAAGCTCCTCATAACTTACCCCGTTAGGGAGAACGGTAGCAAAGTATGCTCCACCCACGCGTGTGGTATCGATGACGACAGGCACGTGTCCCGCAGGCCCAAGCAGGCTCAAGGTGCCGGGGTACACAAGCACATGTGCACTGCAATCATGCCTTTGAGGGCATATGCCGACCGCACGGTCGAACACGCCACCGTACAAAGCCGGACCGAGAGCCAAGACACCATCGAGGACGTCATCAGCAGTTTGTGCGTGGTGCACACACATAGCCCAATTAGTGGGCTGGAAATGCGGGGCCATCACCGTAACTCCAAGCCAATCCGGGGTAAGGAGGCTGTTATCGATCCCAATGGGGAGAGGGAGTCTTCGAAAATCTGCACGAGGAAGGGGACAAAGGTTATGCCCACATACGCAGTCCGAGGGGGGCCAGTCTGCGCTTCCGGCATCCACATTCTCTGTCAGTCCCGCTGCAGAGGACAAGGGGAGCACACTCATTTGCTGAGCCCAAGCGGCAACAGCCAAAGGGCCCTCATCAACTTCAAGCCCCTCAGAAGCACAGGCACTGGCGAGCTCAACATCCGACATCCCCTCAGCAAGGCCACCATGTGTCATGTCAAGCCCAGGTCCGGGCATTCCCTGACCAAAGTAAACCCCACTAAGTCCTAGGAAAATGCCACGCGGTACGTACCTGTCAGGCGGAATTGCCTCGACCTCGGCGACGCCAAACACGCCAAGCGTCATAAGAATGCAAGCCCACGGGACGCGCAAAGGCCGTGGGCCACCCCCAAACGTGGTAGATATGCAGGAGGTCCGGGAACGCTGCCAGTGCAAGGGCCCGCGGTAGGGGCTACCAATGAAGCCAACACCTGCGTGCAGCTTCATATTGGAGAACCAAGCAGGCCCAGTGACAAGCCGCCCAAAGGAGTGACGTCGGAGGCGCAAAGCACTGCCTAGCTGCGCCCAGCACGAAAGAAACATAGCACCCAAGCAACTCAACAACAACGAGGCTGCCTGGCACTGTGTCCAGTGGAGTGCCTCCTCTAGGCACGCACCTTTCAACGACGCAGCACGGCTAACAATCACAAGGGAGGTAAGGACGCCAACCCCTATCAGAGGTATACTTTCAAAGTTCGCGTGTAGACGCCCAGCACACTCCACCAGAGGCTCGGCGTAAGCAAAGCACAAACGGCAGAACAGCCGGCAATCTGGCCAGTCGGCACGGCATTGGTTATCGGCACTATCATCCACCCACCAGAGGCAGAAGCACCAGAATCCTAGAAAGATCCATGCAGTGCCATGGCAAAGGGCCAGGCATAGAAGTCCATCACGGCTCCAGTCGCACTGGCCATGCTGTCGCAAAAATCGAGACATGACGCCGCTATCCGCAGCATCTCTCAATAGCAAGGACCAGGAAGCACCGGAACGGGGAGTCCAAGAAAGGAACACCCGCGCAGCAGCACAGGACTCAGGAATGGTAGCTGTCCCAGAGCCACCGATACAGCTTTTAGGCACCACACCTGAACGTCCCGAGGCAAAATACTGCCGCCAACAGCAAGACATGACACCACTATCAGCAGCATCCCTCAACAGCAAGGACCAAGATGGTCCGGGCCGGGGAGTCCAAGAAGGGAGCACCCGCACAACAGCGCAGGACTCAGGCATGGTAGCTGTCCCAGAGCCACCGATACAGCTTTTAGGCACCACACCTGAACGTCCTGAGGCAGAACAACAAAACTTGGCAAAAGCCAGCATGGTCCACACCTCGCCCGGGGAAAGATCACATCGGGCACAGGGGGGCAAGTCCGGAGCCGGACACGTGTCAGTAGGGGCGCAGATACGAAGGCCACAAGACCCAAGGCCGGGCCAACCCCACCAAGGAAAGAAGGCACAGCCTACCGAGGAGCTGTGAGACAAGAGGAATTGACGGCACTCGGCACAGCCAGCACCGCGAGCGGCTCCTTGCCCGAGACACAACTGGCTTCGCGAAGCGAAAGCAGGCAACCCACACACTGCTCGCCTCAACGAATCCGGATGCCCCAGGCGGAGACACGCCCGCTTGCTGACCAGCTGATGCCGCAACTCCTCCTCTGGTTCTGTACAGGCGATCAGCTGTCTCCCGTGGTGTCCTCGACACCTTGGCCCGTATCGTCGTCCTCCTCGAATGTGACACTCGCCAGCCGATCCCTCTCCAGCTCCTCCTCCTGCTCCGGCACTGGTCTGCCGAAGGGCTGGAGGGCTCGTCTCTTCACATCCAGGCGGTCCTGAAACGTCATCACGCCAGCTGACGCAGTCGGCCTCTGTATCGTAGCGGCCTTGATTGAAGCCCGAGGAGCCTCCTCCGCGAGGGGAGAACGCCTGGCACTGCGATCCCGCTGTCCAGGATGCGAACCGGGGGTCTTGCCGAGACCAGGCGGAGGAATGGTAGCCGGGGTGGGGTATTCCCGCGGGCTCATGTCCCTCTCGGTGTCCAAACCCGGCGGAGGCCCAGAGGTATCCATACGCACCGGAGTCATAGGCGGAGCTGTTCGTCCTCGCTGCGGGGTAATAACTGCGGCACGCTCCTGGAGGGCACGTCGAAGGACTCCATCCATGTCCGCTTCCGCCTCCTCCATCCACGAGTCGAATACTCTTCCCCACTCCTTTTCCTCGCGAGGCTCCGCCGGCTTTGTCGCCTTGCTGTCCAGCACAATCGAGACAATAACCTCCCTCGCCAGTCGCTGTGCGCCCTCGGCCTCCTGAATCTCGCCGACGAAGCGGTCCATGTCCTTCTCGAACCGCTTGCGCTCGGCAATCAGCCGATTCTTCATCTGGTCCTGAAAGACCTCCCACTTCTCCGCCGCTCGGGCCTTGGCCGCCACGAGTTTCGACAGCCGCGTCTCCATCTTGCGGGCATGGTTCAGGGCATGCTGCATATCCGGCACCATTCTGCCCTCGCTGTCGCGGTTTTGCAGCACTGCCTGCGAGCCCGAGGCACCTGTCGGCCTGCTCTGTAGCTGAATCCCATCGTAGGTGGGAAAATCCATGGGCCGGTTGGGTCCACGAGGGTCGGCCTCCTGCTTCCATGGGACCCGCCCCTGAGGCGACCACCCACGCCAGTACTGCCACTTGGCAGAGCCAGCACTGTCGTCGTCCTTTCGCCATGGCGTCCTATTTCCTCGGCCCATTCGGTTCCGAATGATCCTCCTCAAACTCGGGGCAGTGGCGTGATGCGACCCAAGCTGTTCGAGACGCGCCGCAGAAATAGGCAAGCCAAGCCTCAGGGCGCTCCTTGTACGAGAGCGCTGAGCTCTCTGCCTGCGGTGCCACGGCGGGGATGGCAGCGCTAAAAGTCCGTCGCACCTATTAGGTGCTGGGGCAAACAGCTATTTCCTCGCTCGTGAGGAATCTTCTGAGCCCTGGAATAGTATTACTACTTACTCGAGCCCCTAGATTAAACTTGGGAAACTCCAGGCACCTTCGCATCTGCGGCTGCAGGTTCGAAGGCTTCTCTTTCCCGGGAGGGACATAGTCCGTGCCTGAGGGTGTAGGGTAAGGGCTTAGGGCCTGAGGTGTAGGAGGGACCTCAATTAGGTTTAGGGTTTAGGGGTTAAGGGTTTAGGTTTCGGGTTTAGAGAGATTAGTCGAGATGTTTGGAGGTTTTCATAAGAGTAGCAGCTTTCAGTTATCTACCAGCAAAGATCCAGAACAGCCGAACCCTTCTGGTACTTACGGGAGAACGGAGGAGGTCATATCGGGAATGCTGTAAGAGACAATACGGGGGTCTCTTTTGGGCATCCACCCTCCCATTAAGCACCAGTAACGAACCCTCAACCCACCAGCAAGACCCAACAAACAAAGCTCAGTATTGTCCTAAATCCTAAAGACCTTACGGTGAACACACGAATATAGGGGCATTGATGACTCGACTATGATTTTTCTGTATTGTCGTATATAGCTGTAATCAGGAACCCTGAGAAACAACCATACTCGAACTTCTACAACATAAACCTAAACCCTAAACCCTAAACCCTAAAAACTAAACCCTAAACCCTAAACCGGTGCATGACCCCGCAGCCCTCAAGCCCTGGACACTCTATCAAACTAAGTCATGGAGCCTCACGCCCGCAAGCCAAAAACCCCAGAACTTGCAAACCCTCGACCCTAAGCCCAACCTTAAGGGTCCATGTACCTAAATAGTAGATACTTTGGCCTTAAAGTAGTCCCTATTTGGGTACTTTGGGGCCAAAGTATCTAGTATTTGGGTACATGGACCCTTAGGGCAAGCCTTAAACCACCAACAACCACAAAGCCTACACCCTGATGCCTGAATCCTACACCCTACAACGCCCCCAAAAAATGTGGACCCTCGAACCCGGCAGCCTCACCCCTGAACTTTACACTCTCGGGTCGGAACTAAATTCTCACACTAGCTTGCAGGCTGCTCACTTTTGGTTGTCTTAGAGTACGAGATAGGTTGGTAGGATGTCACAACTCTATCAAGAACAGTAGTCCCGATTCATTCTGGATGCCCCAAAACCCCTTAAACCAAGGTACAAATCTAAACTCAAACCTAGGATCATTATAGACTCAAGCCAAGGCTCACTCTACAATGTCAGGCAGATCGCTTAGCTACCATCCCTTGAATCCACAAATTCTTGGGGGATGGTTGGAGGATTTAGGAGTTGGCTCTTGAGGGCTCGAAGATTTTAGGACCCTATGCTATAGGCTCCATAGTATTTTCTTTTCACAATTCCCTTATAGAACCCTCAAAATAAATCACAAAAAGGAAATACTGCGGGGCCTATATGGGTATAAACCCTCCCTAAACCCTATATGGGGTTTTGGAGTTTCTGGGTTTGGGGCCGCCGGTTTGTCAAAAGCCGAGAAGCTGAGCAGGGCCAGCCAATTCATATCCGCGTCCTGCTCATTAGGTGACAGGGGCGGAGCCACAAAGGGCCAGAGAACCCAATAAGGAGGGTTTTAGGGGGGCGCTCACTAAACCCTAAACCATAAACCCTAAACAAACCCTAAACCCTAAACCCAAAATTAACCCTCAACCCTAAACCCTAATCCTAGAAGGGTTCTATTGGGATTTGTAGGCAGTCTTGATCGTGTTCTAGAAGGGCCTCAGGGGTCCGACGTCCGAAGGCCCTTGAAAAAATGTGTATATATATATATCCATATATATGTATATATATATATATATGGGCTTCTGATCGTACTGCTGATGATATAAATCCTGCACTACCTCAAGGCTAAACTATTGGAATCCTGGTATCTTCCTTATAATGGGTAATGCAGGATTTATATCATCAACCGTAGTGTGGTAGGTTAGTACTTGGGAGAGTATGTGATTCTAAGGTACGTGGTCCTTTTGGGGAAGGCTAGAAGGATTATTTACGGTTTACGGTCATTATAGATGATCTTACTGACTTAATGTTCAACGTCTAGGACTTAGGCCGTAGGGTGTCTTTAAACGTTTTGAAGCCTACGGCTTATATGGGGTTTAGGGGTGATACGGGCATCGGGTTCAGGAGTGCTTTGCCACTTTGGAATTGCATGGAAAAGCCGGGACGAGACCAGTTGCACCGGGGTTCAATGCTAAGGGTACAGCGATAGCAAAATTTGGGTGCACAAAAATGTTCGGCAATTCCTGAGCCTCAGGCCACAAATCTTCAATCCTGAACTTGAATCCAGAGGTAGTGTGCTGAAGTCGGTTACTCGTAACCCAGAAAGACGAGTTTGACGGGTTCAAGGTTCAGGGGCTGACCCCGCACCACACCAAAAGTTGTAGAGCAGAATCACCCGGGGGTTCTCGGAGGAGTCCGAGGAAATCTCAGCCAGTCGGCAGCGAGACTGGGTTCTAGTTGGGGGGCCCTGAACAGTATTTGTGAATAGATGCCTCTATAGAAGCCACAAGGGAAACTTTAAAGTTTCCCAAATTGCCACCTAGGAGACCTCGCCACAGCTTCACGCCGGATAGACGTGTATGGCCATCACTCAAAGACACCGTCTGCACGCTGCCTTGGTCGGCTCTGACGGCCCGATGTTCTCAAGAAGTCCGCCGACGCTCAGGAACATGCCTTCGGTGACATCCTCCAGCGAGCTAGGCGCCGTACTGGGCCAAAAATATCGTGGGATGTCTCGTCCAGTATTTGTCCCCTGCAAAAGGGGCAAGATCTCCATCGCCTTCTTGGGGGTGGCAAATTTCTCCATCACGAAGCATGTCCGGACTGTGCCGCTCAGCCATGCAAAATTCTGTAATTGAACCTTGCGGATGTCACGAGGACGCCAAAAAACAGCGGTCCCGCTTGGCGTCCAAAAGTTGGCTCTCTCTTTTGACCAGGCGCTGGCGCTCAGCCACCGTCCCATAAACGTTCTCTGTGATGTGAAGAATGTCGCCATTATCATCTGCAACCATGGTTGCGCATACCGTGAACGGTTGCTTCTTGCCACGGAATGGCTTTGCAAATGACACTGAAACGTTGGGGACTTCTGGGATGCGATTTGGGTGAACCGGTCTTGTGACACAAATTTGGCACTTATTATGGCGCCACATCCTGTCGGGGATCCTGGAGGGTCTTTAAGTCTTTAGGTGCAGTGACACCTGGACGAAAGCCAGATTGGGATCGGAAGGGCAGTGTACCACCCCTCTACCTGCCCCTTACCCAAGCTTTGCCTAGAGAGGGGATCCCTTCCCGGTTACCACCCCAAACGCTTGCACCAGCACCAGCCATCATAATCAAAGCATCATCATCATCATCATCATCATCATCATCATCACCATCATCGTCATCACCCTCATCACGCACCATCATCATCATCATCGTCGTCGTCGTCATGATCATCGTCATCCTCATCACCAACGCCATCATCATCAACAACAACAGTTACAGCGTCGCCACCTTCATCGCCAGCACGAAGACAACACCGCAACATCATGACCATCATCAGCCGCAGCACGGTGCTGTACAGCCGAGCCTTCTGCATAATTTCGAAGGCAGTCGCGGCATGAAAGTTCCTTGGCTGAAGATGCTTAGCCCAACACCAGCAACCTTCCGAGCCAAAACCCTAAGGACCCATGTGCCTAAATAGTATATATGTATGCATATATATATATATAGAGAGAGAGAGTGTATGTATGTATATATATATATACATGTGTGTGTGTGTGTGTGTATGTATGCATGTATGTATGTATGTATGTATATATAACTATCTACATATACATATACATATATATATATATATTATTATACTGGCCTCAAAGTACCTATATAGGGAATACTTTAAGGCCAAAGGCTATACTGTGTGGGTACATGGACCCTTCGGGCAGTGGGCTTTGCAGTTCTGGGTTCGGGGACCCCTAAGCCAATCTCTCAACTCATCCTAGGAAGGCAAATCAAAACCTCACCCTAAGGGTCCAAGTAGTCCTTATTTATGGTCTTAGGTACCCAGAAAGGCCGCAAAGTCCTTAAATAATGGGTACTTGGACCCTTAGGGCTACTCTAAACTACCATAACCTGCTTTAGTGTGTGCAGGTTCTGATTCTAAATCGTGGTACTCGAGCATGAGTTGATAGGGGAACCTACACACAAATGCAGGTTTCGACAGGTCACTGTAAAGCCCAAGTGAGTAGCTGAGTCGCTGAGATGGTGAAGGGGTTTAATGTAGGGGCCCTCATTACCTAGAATAGGGATCTGGTCTCCTTTATAATATACTTATATAATAAGGGTTTAAGGGTTTAGGGGTAGGGTTATGATTCAGGGGTTTAGGGGTTTAGGGTTTAGGAACCCTGAGGAACGATATTGGCAATTATCCAGTCTTGCATATTAGGGCTTCAGGCTGAGAGTCTAGGGTTCAGGCCTCAAGGTTTTCGGGTCGAGAGTTGAGGGCCCTACTGTTACTGAATGCACGATACACACTAGAACAATCAGCCGCAAAATTTAAAATCCTGCGTTGGTGGGAAGAGGTCCGGGTGAGGAAGCTCTCAAAGATCTCAAACATCAAAACCTTAAGGGTTGAATTTCCAACTTACCTGTGACCGGAGTTTGCTTCGAAAGCAAGCTGCGAGAGAAGAGATGAATGACTTTCGCTGAGCGTTGTAGTCCAGGACGGGTTCCGAGATGGCAAACGCCGAATTTCCAAACCTAGCTTTCCCACGAACAAGGTTAAAGAGCAGCTCGATGCCGTCCCATACCCCAAACAACTTGTTCACGTTGCGCTGAACATACAGCAAGAGCGCTAAGAGGACACTACATATCTCACTCGCAGGACCCTGACGTAGGGCCCGAAACCCAAGGCAACATAGCCCCAAAGTCTTCTATAGAACGAGCGGTCTTTGCGAAGAAGGACCTCTAGTCATAAGTCCTCAGAGCCTTTCAGCAGAACTTCCACAAAAGGTGTAGGGCAAAACACTGCCAAACCCTCTAAACAATCCCGAACTGTGATGCTGTAATATTTGTTATCATACAGTAGTATTCGAAGGACGTATACTGGATACTATACATTGTCCTAGCTCTGATGCTATACCTATCGTCTCCATTGAAGTCCATTGTTGGCTTTACCTTTTAGGATCCCCAATAGAAACTTGGCTAAACCGACAAATGGAGCTACCCCTAAACCCTAAACCCTATAGGTCATGATATACTAAACTACCAAGGTGGGCCGAAACCCTAAACCCTAAACCCTAAAGGTAATGATCTACTAAACTATCCAAACCCTAAACCCTAAACCCTAAACCCTAAATCCTAAACCCCTAACCCCAAACCAAAAACTACCAAGGTGGGCCGAAGAGCTCGAGGATGCTCTTGTCGTTGTAGGTGATGGCAAGAGGACTCATCGTCTTCGAATGGAAGAGGTTGTTCCTGCAACAGCCGGTTAAGGTTTTAGGGTTTAGGGCTTTGGGTTTAGGGTTTAGGATTTAGGGACGGTTTCGGGGTATAGGGTACAGCGTACAGGGTTTAGGGCTCACGGTTAAAGGTGCAGCAGACCAATGTTTGTCAGTTTAGGGCCTAGTCTGTTTGTTGTTCGGCTCGAGGTGCTTTGAGATCGGTTGCTTTAAAGCAGGGCTTAAGAACATATTGGCTTTTGAAACTAACTAAGCTCCAGAACCTGAGCTGGCTACTGCAAGGTTCACGGTTCAGGGGCGTTGCCCGTGCTTGAAGATGAGCACCCTTCGCAATGCCTGGGCTTTGGGCCCAGAAGCCCGAAAACGTATCACCAGCACCGAACTTCGCGGAAAACAGCACCCGTACTAGTACCAGCACTAGTACTAATACTGGTACTGGCACTGCTAGTAAACCCCTTTAGCCCTAAACTCTATACAAACCCGTTTAGGGAACGTTATTAACTCAAAGGGTCCTAGGTAGTGTTATGGGGGACGCTTTCCCAAATCATAATAAGGAATCCTAATATAGAAACCCTACATTTTACCATACAGGTACTTTGGACCCTTTGAGTAATAAAGTCCCTACGAAACCGGAACTTGCTCGGACTCCTCCCAGGATGTCCCACGTCATGGATCGCCATGGATACCAGGGCCTTGGGCGCATGTTGGGGCCTTAAGAGTTAGAATAGGGTTCCTTTGAAGGGCTCCTGAAAAGGGATACCATGAGGGCTATAAGGGTTCTATAGTATAGGGGCCTTAATAATTAGAATAGGGTTTTGGGGCCCATTATATTTTAATTATTAGAAGGACCCCCCCCAAAAAAAAATAAAATAAAATAATAATATAGGTACTGATTAAGGCCCCTATATAATACTTAGGGTTTTGGGCTTAGGGAGTCGGAGCCCTTTATTTCCCCAAATGAAGGCATCCCCTCAGTCTGGGCTGGATCTAGAACCCTAAACCCGAAACCCTAATCTAGGGCCTTAGGGTTCAGGGTTTAGGGTTGAATCTAGAAGGTCCTGAAACCCTAAACCCAAAACTCCAATCCCCATACTGCCCAGTCAGGCAGTCAATTCAACGTTGTTGTAGGGGCCTGAATAATTCGAACAGGACTTTGGGCTCCTCTGTAGTGTAGTCATAATAAGGGGCCCTATGGAATAATATGAGTATTATTTAGGCTTCTACATTAAACTAGGAACTGCGGAGAGAACGCGAAGGCCGTAAACACAAACAGCATTTGGCGGAAATATTGGCCTACAGTGCTTCACCTAGAGATTCTCTTCCAAAGCCCCTTCCTTAAGGATTATTCCTCACATAATGGTAAGGATCCGTATGAAGGTACACCAAACAAAGCTTGTTCGAGGCATCGCCGAATGGCTTAGGGTCAATTCGTTCAGCGATCTTTGCGGATGGCCGCATCTCTCTCAATAGTGCGTACAGTAGAAGCCCAAAAGTTAGAAACCCAATAGCCTCAATCCTTCAGAGTCCTGCATGGGGAATCCCAGCACTAGTTGTCCTTGACCCGGTTTCCAACTTTGTGGGGTTTATTGTAATCGATTCCCCCTTAACCTGGTCCCTTTCAAGGAGTTTCTAGCCTGACGTATCATAAGAAGGGTCACAAGCTAAATCATATGTGTGTATATGTACGCATGCGTGCATGTACACATGGATGGATCGATGGATGGATGGATCGATGGATGGATGGAGGGATGCTTGCATGCCTGCATGCATGTGTGTATGGGGGCGATACACATGTAGTACTTCACGCGCATGTGAGTATGTGTATATATATATATATATATGCAGATATGCTTGTATATATACACACACACTTGTTTGTTTATTTGAATACGGTTTTTATAGGAGGAGAGGGAGGGAGAAACACACACTCACATGCCCATGCTTTCTTGAGCCTAATCCTCAATCAGTGTGAACCGAGAAACGCTGTCCTGAACCTCCCCGATGCGGGGTATCAACAACCCTAAACCCGAAACCCTGAATCCCTAATATCAACAACTCCAGGATCACGAAATTGGCAAGTCCCGTTTAAGAAACATCCTATTACATTTTACGGAACAGCTTTGAGGGTTCGGGTTGATGTTCCCTGTTGAGAAGTCGCACTATACTTGAAGGAATGGTCCCCAGCATGAATTTGGGACGGTTTAGGGTTTAGGGTTTAGGGTTTAGGGTTTGGGTTTAGGGTTTAGGGTTTAGGGTTTAGGGTTTAGGGTATCAGCTCGTCCTGTGGCCACATGCACTGATGAAACGGACTGCCCTCCCGCTTTGGGCCCACTCACTAAGCCCTAAACCCTAAACCCCCAAACAAGAAACCTTTGGCGGGCCGTAACCCTGTTGAAATTCTCGGGGCAGAGCCTGTCTTGGTGGGACCGTTTAGGGTTTAGGGCCAAGTTTAGCAGTTCAGGGCTTTGGGGCTTAGGGATTAGGGCCGGTTTAGGGCTTAGGGTCGACAGGTTGGGTCTGCAAAAGCTGCAGGGAAGGGACGCGTTTGAGCTTCGCAGCTGATCCTGCACAGCGCTGCTATCTCCACCGTTTGGAGCATCACCCCAGGTTACAACGGACCCGTCCGCGAGAACAGCAGCAAATGAGAAGCTAGAAGCCTGGATGAATTGCACGTCCACCAGCTGCTGTTGCACCACAGCACTGTCGCCTCCAGTGTTCGCCTGTGCCCAGCTGAGGTAATCTGGATCACCCCATGTCACGACAGATCCATCACCACGGATTGCAGCAAAGGAGCTGTCCGAGGCTTGGATGCACTGAACATCTTCTAGTTGAGCTTGCACGAGGGTGCAGTTGCCTCCGAATATGGAGCTGCCCCAGAGGACGACAGATCCATCGCAACGGATTGCGGCAAAAGCTCCCATGGAGGCTTGAATGCAGTGAACATCTTTCAACTGGTCCTGCACGGACAAGCTCCTACCACCCCAAGCCTCAAATCCCCAGGTAACTACGCATCCATCGCCCAGGATCGCCGCAAAGGCAGCAGAGGATGCCTGAATCTGGCGCACATCCTTCAACCGAGCTTGCACCATCTCCGAGCCCCCACCATAGCCACGAGCACCCCAGGTGACGACAGATCCATCAGCCAAGATCGCGGCAAAGGCTCCGCTTGTGGACTGAATCTGCTGCACCGTCTTTAGCTGGCCTTGCACTGCACTGCTACATCCACCATACTCGACATCCCCCCATGTTACAACGGACCCATCTTCGAGAATGCCAGCAAAAGCTCGTTGCGAGGATTGGATCTGGTATACACACCTCAACTGACTCTGAACTGCACTTGAATTGCCTCCAGCAGCTTTATGGCCCCATGTCACAACAGAGCCATCAGCCAGGATCGCTGCAAACGCGCGTAAAGTGGCTTGGATCTGCCGGACGTTCTTGAGTTGGTCTTGAACTTGACTGCAATTACCGCCGTGGCCGGGGTCACCCCAAGCCACGACAGACCCATCACCACATATCGCGGCAAAGGACCCAGAAGAGGCCTGATGGGTAAAGCGTTTCACATGTACCTCTAGTCTCCAGTTCTCTTGATAGTACAGTATATACTTTTGAGGCCCAAAATACCTACTAAGTGCCTACTATAGTTTGATACGCATTCGCGGAACAGCGACCTGGATGTGAGTCACGCTGCATAATTGATTTTGAACAGCGCTGCTGTCGCCACCGCACCTGGGGTTTCCCCAGGTCACAACGGACCCGTCATCCAAAATTGCAGCGAAGGATTTGGAAGAAGCTTGTACTTGCTGCACCCTTTTCAGCCGATGTTGCACAGAGCTGCTGTCACCTCCATAGTCCACATGACCCCAAGTGACGACAGAACCATCACTGAGGATGGCGGCCACTGCCTGGCTGCAGGCTTGTACTTGGACCTGCCCTACATGCCAGGTCAAGGTATCACCAGACTGGAGACCAGATTCTTGAAGCGTTGAGTGCCCATCCAGAGCGCGACCGGTGGAGTTCAACAGCCAGCCCTTCTTCCCGCCTAGAGATCTCTGCACTCTGAGCCTAAACACATCGACTGATGCTTCCAGCTCAGCCTCCACAGACAGCGACCTGCCACTTAGAGGCAGCAAGACCTGCAGCACAGAGGCCATGATGCTACAAAGCTCTGTGTTGAAGGATTAGTTCAAGGCTTGGTTGGGGTTTAGGGTTTAGGGATCAGGGTGAAAATTGGTATTAGGGTTTAAGGTTTAGGGTTTTAGGGTTTAGGGGATCAGAGTGCTAATTGGTATAATGCTACAAAGCTCGGATATGTTCGGAAATGGCACGACTGATGCTTCGACTCGGCAACCTGAGCTCTCAACGCAGAGGGTCTAGAGTTTAGGGTTTAGGGAACCGTGAACCCTAAACAACAAAAACCGGCGAAGAATTCCCTAAACCCTAAACAACAGAAAAAATAGTCGCAGTACAAGGCTTCTGAAACCCCGACGCTGCCGAACGCAGGTATCTTCACTCCAGGACCCTTCAACCATGGAAGCCCAAAGCCAGAAACCCAAAACCCCAAACCGATGAACTCCCAAAACCTAGAACCGAACCAACCCAAACCCCCCAACAATCCTACAAACCCTGAACCCCAAATCCGAAAATTCGCAACCCTAAACTCCTCAAGAAAACCGTGACCATGGCGCGAGCCAGTATAAACCCACGTAGATCCTCTTAGAATCCTGATAAAGACACCTTTCCTAGAGGGTCCGTATGACCCACCCTCGACCCACCCTCCAATGCTCACTGCTCAGGTTCGGACCATCAGGTGGTCGACAGCTGAGATCTGGTCGGAATCGGAAAGTTCTAAGCTAGAAACCCTAAACCCCAAAGTTTGTAAGAGAGGCACAAGTAAGGGGTCTCCCTAACTAATGCTACGGAAAACTTTTCGGGATCCTAACAGGGATCCATAATCGGGTTGTGTGATGCAGGGGACGTATGAATTGGAATGGGGTCCTGGGGTCTACTAAAGTTCAAATATTATACGTCTATATAACCAGCTTCCATTCCATTCCATTCCATTCCATTCCATGCCATGCCATGCCATGCCATGCCATTATATATATATATATATACACACATATTTATATATACATATGTATAGACCGGCACAATAAGAGCTATAACTAGTATTCCTCATCATTGAACCCCTATGAGCCCTTTCTCTAAGTGTCAGTTCAAGACCAAAAGAATCGTAAGCCTTAGTTGAAGCCCTCTCAGCACGGCACTAAACCTACTTGTCCACGATGTTTTCTGTCACGCTTTCCGAAACGTTTCGAGACACATTCAGCCGCGTGCATAGTAACAACTCAGACGTTCTGTCGGGATATGGAGTTGTAGGACTAACAGTTTTGGGTTTAGGGTACAGGATGGTTTTAGCGTTTGAGGATATTAATTGTACCAAAAAATTGGGTTCGCACTCGGGCTTCTGTGACGGAGACAACCGATCGGACCCAGGCTGAACATGCATTACACGGATAGCACCGGGCGGCCACAACCCTATATGGGAGTTTCCGCAAATTAGGGGTACCTTATTTTGGGGTCTTTATAATAAGCATCCCTATTATTTGGGGTATTATATTAGGGGACGTATTTTCGGAAACCTCCATAGTTACCAAAAACCCCTTAAACTTAGCCCACCCCCCTGCAGGAACAAGGCAGAACACTGCAACTGGGAGTTCCAAGCACCTAAACTCCAATACCGGACCCTCAAAATCGTAACCTCCAATGTCCTATACCCTATACCCTAAACCCTTGAAACCCTGAACCCAGAGACCCTGAAATCCCAAAACCTGAGACCTCTAATTAACCCTAAACTCAGAAACACGGAAATCCCAAAACCTGAAACCCCAAAACCCTGAAACCCAAACCCGTGGCTCACTGCCCTACCTATAGTCTCCACTGTAGTTCCTTTTTGGGGTTTAACCAATGTTATACTAAGGAACCCCAAAAAAGAAATACAATGGAGACTATAGGATTGGGGGGACCCTTGGAAATATAGACCCTCTCAACCAAGGTCCCTTTTCAGAGGGCCATAAGTAGGGTCCCCTTCAAGGGGAGACCCCTGCTACCACCTGTAGGTAAACCCTAAACCGATCCCGGTGTGTTTGCCTGGCCAAGCAAGCTCTGAGATCTGAGGAGCCACTCCTGCACGGTTTAGGGTTTAGGGTTTAGGGTATAGGGTTAAGAATAGGTTTAGGGTTTTAAGGTTTAGGGTTTAAGGGCTTTAGATTATAGGATCTATAGTGGGACGCAGAGGTTTAGGGTTTACGGGTTTAGGGGATAGGCTGCAGGGTTGAACGGTTTCCAGGTTTCGGGGTTGAAGGACTGTGGGAAATACTGTTGATGATATAAACCCTGCATCAGCTTCAATACCGTAAGCTATGGGAAGTATGGTATATTCCTTTTTCTGCGTAATACACGATTTATATCATTCACCGTAGGATTTAGAAGCTTCAGGGTTGGAGGGCTTCTTCTCTTAAGGAGAGGTCGATAAACACCTCTCCCGAATTATAGTGTTTGGGTTTGGGGGTCGGGGGGGGGGGGGGGGGG